CCTTTATCCTGAGTAAGCACTAAAGAAAAACAAATTGTACCTACAGAGAAATCAGGGCAAAGAGCCCCCTGGTAGGGACACTGGAGACAGTCTCCCGCTGTCAGGAAAGGTTCCTCCAGCAGCCATCGTGTTGGCGACACGCTGCTGCCCGAGGTGCGTCCCTGGGAGCTGCCGCCTTACCCTGCTCCCCTGGGCACAACAGGCAGCAGGGCGATTTTGCTCCAGCCACGGCCTCCCTTTGCCCCAGCGCACTGCGCACCCTCCTGTGAGGGTGACCCTTGTCACCTTGGCCCTTGCCAGCGATGGGGTGAAAAGTGAGTAAGAAGGAGGTGATGGTGGTGAAATTTTCCTATAGCCCTACTCCAGTACCCTGCTGCGTGCATCAGTGCTGGGCTGCCCGTGGAACCTCCCCATGCTTAGAAGTCTGTTGCATCAACCAATTTTAACCTCTTTAAAAGGTAAGGTTTTATATTTATACATGAATATATTTAAATACTCTTAATATTTACAGTGGCTGTTTCTGCTAAAAATTATGTTACATGTACCATCAGAAAAAGGAGGAAACGCAAATACAGTAAGGTGACATTAAGGGTGAGACATAAATCACAAAAGCAAGGGTGTTAGAGTTTAGGCTTCCAGGGTATGCTGCTCCTGCTCTCTGTCTACTGCAGAAGTCCCCTAAATTCCCTTTGTGGGAAACCATGCTAGTTTTCTACATGGAAAACTATTGTAACGGACATACAGTTAAATCCTAACCTGAATTAGTTGTAAGAAAATAAAAGTACATACTACTGCTACGTATATTAAGTACTTACTGTATATAGCGCCTTTAATTTGAAGATCTGAAAGTGCTTATAAATAATGAACCAACCCCCCCTGCGAGGTAGGTAAGTATTATTATCCCTATTTTACAGATGGGGAAACTGAGGCATCAGAGAGGCTAAGTGACTTGCCCAAGGTCACAGGTGAGTCAGTGGCAGAGCTGGGAATAGACCTCAGCAGTCCTGTTCTCTAATCCTCTGCTCTAACCGCTGTGCATGCTTCCTCTGTAGGGACCACATATACAAATACTTGAGTATTTACATATATACCAGTACGTGAATAATATACAAATGCAATTATCCAAATAATCTGTAGAGATATGTCAGTTAATTTCTTGTTTCTGAAACAACTTCTTTAATCTCTGACCTGAGTACAAACATCTCCTAGCTCTATTTGATACTCTTAACCCTGGATGTTATTTGTTAACTTTTTAATTGGTGATGATTTATAGGTGTGCTGCTTTAAAAAGCCAGGTGAAAATGACACTAGGGATGGGAGGTGAGAAATAAAGCAACTTAAAGAGGAAGAAACCTAAAGAAAGGGCAAGTGGTTGAGATCTCTATTATTCCTAATTCCTTGCATATGTATAAGGATTATTACTGAAGCTCACAGAAAAAAGGCCAGGCATGTACCAGTTGGAGCACAGCTGTGCATGTGGAACCCAAGCCAAGGACAAGTTTTAACTCCGCACAGGAGAAGCTTGAAGTGTCCCATCAGCTCTTACCCTGGTCGCTTGCACAGACAGCACAGGGGTAGTTCACGGATCTCTCTGAAGGAAAGAATAACTTTCACTAAAACATGTTTTCTTTTTGAGCAATTAAAAATGGAAAAATGCTAGTGAAATCCCAAATACTGTAACTGCAAGTGAATTTAAAAAACCCAGGTTTTGCTTATCAAATGTATTTTTCACAAGATACTTTAATTTCCCTCCCCTAAGCTCCTGTTTTAGAGTAATAATAGTAATTCATCACCAGCTGCTATAAAGTCTATTGCTACCAAAGGGGATGCATAGATGCAATCAAACAGAATTTTGCCTTTTGGGGGACCAATTTGACAGTTTTGCAAACTCCTGGATGCATGTATTAATCACAGCCAAATCAAATATTTGTGTTAAGTCAGCTCAAACTAGCTCATAGCTGGGAGCTAGGAAATATCTGAGTCATGAAACAGATCCCAGGGGAGCCCCAGCCAAGCAGCCATGTGACGTACCTCTCGCCTTTAACAGAATGTTATCGAGAGATTTCTGCAGACTGCATTATTCATCGTGCCATTCCAATGTGGCAGTTCCTACCCCTGCCCTTTCAGGACACAGCAGGGGAATGTGAGGACTCACGCTGTTTGCACAGAAGGGATTTGTGCTGCCTGGTGTCACTTTTACATTTTTGTGGGGCACCACTGTGGAGTTAATTGCATTTCATTTTGTTATTTTTATCTGTTAATGCAGTGCTGTGTTTGAATGACACAATACAATCATCGCCAGTAGCAGCGTGCTTGCTCTCGTGGAAAACTTAAAAGCCTTTCTACTTTCTACTGTCCAAGGATATGAACCCTGTTTCTAGCCCAGCCTCAAACTCCATTGATGTAATCTGCATAACTGTACTTGAATTGTTTTCATTCTTACTCATTACACAGGAAATACCATGAAGATTTGCTGGCCCCACGTCAAGTTCATAAACTGCAGTGTGGTTAGGTTAAGGCCTAAAATGATTCAAACCCTTTCCTTCATCCCCCTGTAGCAGCTCTTGCTAATGTTCATCTTTCCAGAAAAGTACTCAGTTTGGTTTATTAAACTGTAGGGCTTTTATTGTGAGCTGCTTTGAGAATTGCTTTCAGTTGGTTTTGACTGCAGCTCTCACGTATTGATGGATTTGCCTCTTAAAAGACAGGGGTGCTGGATTTCTTCACGAATGACCAGCAAGCTGCTTCTGACCCTTGGATTTGCAAGTCTCCTTGTGTAGTGCCAACGTAGCCTTTCATAAAGGAAGAAGAGATGCAGTTTTCAAAGACGACTCTAACCCTGCAATTAGTCTGAAAGCCTGAAACCTGTTGATACAAAAATGCTTTTCACTCTGCCTTAACTAACATATCTAGAGGCTTAAATATTTTGGGATTTATACTGCATGCTGGTAACAAGACTGGTGTCATTTATAAGCAAGGAATGCAGAAACATTTTTTGAGTCTCTGCTCCTAGTTGCTCATTTTTCTTGACACCAGAGCTGGCCTAGAGCCATGGTCTCCACCTTGAAGTCTGTATTGAAAACTTTCCATGAGTCCGTTGTGTTGGCATCTGCAACTCTGCTACAGGAGCTGGCTGCATCATTCACGTTTATCTCTGATGTGGATGTGCTCCATCATGGCCTTTAGGTAATGCTGTATAGGTGCCCAAAGGCAAAACCCAACAAGGTGGTTTTCCTTAACAAGAGGAGGGAGCCAGGTTTAAAACTCAGGCAGAGTATCCGGCTGCAGCCATCCCAGCATCTCTTCTGTGGGGGACTGCTGTAGTGAGAGAGCCCTCTCCTCCTGACCCTCCCTCCTGCCCCGAGAGCTGCTCCTGCCCCTTGCTGGTAAAACCTGACCAGTGCCAATGGTAGGTGTAAGTTTTCCAACATTATGCTTTTATAAATGGAATTCACAACCCAGTTCACAGAAGAGGTGATTTTTGGCAACCACCCTGGGGATATGCTCCAGCTGATGTAACCTCTCCTGCGAACAGAGCCTTACGTGTGACTGCACGAGTGCAGTAACGAAGCTCTGTCATTCGGGAAGGCCATTTCTGAGCTCCTGGTCAGGACTTGCTTCCTCCAAGAAAGCAGCTGACTAATAACAGCTCTGAAGTGGTGTTAAGTAAGTGCCAATCATCTGTGTTTCTTAGCAACACTGCAGAAGAAAGGTCAAGTATCACATTGTTTAAAAAAAAAAAAAAAAATCACCGTTAAAAATTCAACCATTTTGCCCTTGATGGGGTTGTCTTCTCCCCTCTCTGATGTTCCTTAGGACAAAAGCAGTTACATTGCTAGGCCCTGTCCAGACACTACCACAACTGGGGAAATAAAAGATAACACCTACTGCTGCACTCCTTTGTTGCACCTTAGAAAAGGGACTTTCTAAAGAGACTTTCCAGGCTGCCAGATGCAGTTTGAGCTGCTATTGCTTAAGTTGCTTTTCAGAAATGCAGCTCATAGGCCCAGGGAAGACGATCTCTCTTAGCACTTGCCATACACCAGGAGGATGGTTTTCTTCCTAAAGCCTGACATCTGTCAGAGAGGCAGCAAAAATCAAATGCAGCAGTGGAAGTAAGATTAGGAATTTCAAAAAAATACACAGCTCGAGGGGTGGGATGTAAGGGCAAGGCTCAGGCCAGGTTTTGGTTCAGCCCATTAGGAATATGAGAACCACACCGAGGTTTGCGTTTCAAGCAGCCACAGCAGGTTTTGTGTCAGTTCATCTACACAGAAGTTTGTAGCAAGGCCAGGTGCTGGCTTCCACTGTCAGCCTAACTGGAAGGTCATTCTGCTCCCTACAGGGTGAATTTCTTATGGGAATTAGGTAAATAAGCAAATCATACTTGTTGTAGCTGGATGATCAAAGGGGTCTCTTATTCAGTAACAATTTACAATATTAATACAATAAACAACTTGAAAAAACACACAACCGAAAGAATCAGAGGTGTATTGCTTAAAGAAAACAAAAGCCAGTTATAACCTGAAACCCTTTCTAAAAAGATTTTAAATATGATTCTCAGCTTCCTGCTAAGCCACTGCTCACCAGCTGGTTGTGTTGAGGAGGAAAATCGAGCAGGACGCAGAACCGATCGTGTTGGATAGCAGCAGTGATGACCCAGCGGCAGTGGGATGATGATGAGAGCACTGGAGAAATCCTTTACTCGGCCATCAGCGTGTCTGAAGTCTGTGGGGTTTGAAGACTAAGACTGCATCCGAAGGGATTCCTGTGGTTTATAGTGACCTTATAAATGGTAAAACTTTTAGTTTAGTATTTGTGAGTGTAAAAAAAGTAAATTAAAAAAGGTGCAGATGGCTATAAAATAGGCTAACATAAGTAGTTATACACTTTTTTTTCCCACCTGTGGACAGAAAGGAAATAGTAATGCTGAATCAGATGAGAGCAAACAATTACAAATAATTGGCTAAGTTTTCCAGCGGGTGTTAAGATAGCTTTGCTTATAGCCGAGTTGTAACGTGATCCTCCTGCCCATCTTTCCACTGGTTTATAAACAAGTCACAAGCCTCTCCCCATGAATCAAACACATCCTCTGATGAGTCTATAAGTTTGGAATTAGAGGAACAAATACTGGAAGCACAGTGAAGGGAGCTGGTACAAACCACAGGGCACTCCTTGCTCTGTCCCGTAAGTCTTGTGTTCCCACTGTAGTCTACCTCATTGAGGTTAATTTCACTTTTGGAACAATTCTCTTCTCTCTCTTTATCAATCTGAGAATATTTAATGTCTTTCCACATGTAGTGTGGCTGAATAATTCCATCTGAAATAGTGTACATGGGTTCTGAATTTGGTTCAGGTACGTGTCCATTCATCTTGGAGAAAAGCAGGCCCAGTCTCTTAAAAGACTCCTTCTTGGAGCTGGAAAGTCTCTGAACTCTATTTCCATTTCGGACAAAGGAGCGCTTACTGATCCCATTGCTTTTTGGCTTCTCTTCCACCATATTGATCCCAGACATAGTTTTAATCAGAGCAGATACATTGAAGTCCTTTTTTTTGTTGGCTACATTGAAAGACACGCTTTTGGCTTTGGATTTTTCTCCAGCACCATCTTCATTTGTTTCATCCTTTTGGGACACTTCTGTGCTGCTGGTAGAATAACTTCTCCTCTGGGGCTTCCTATTTCCTAAGAGGTCCAGAACTTCATAGCGAAAACTTGAGATGTCCTGCTTTAATTCCTAGGGCAAGAGGAGAAATGAATTACACTCAGCAGCTTTATCTGTGACATGAAAGAATGATCACGTTCCCTTGGAAATGGCTGATACCAAATCACACTTAGAGGAATACCACATACATCTTCATTATTCAGTGACACACACACACAAAAAGTATTGGTAATCCTGAGAATTGGAGACCTCACGAGATCTTTGTCTCCAAAGGCTGTGGGACCGGCCCTCTTGACCAACCCCCTCTGCCCACCCCCACCCCCCCCAAAAAAAGTCAAATAAGACAGTTATAGAAGAGGGGAAACACTGCTGAAGTTTAGAAATATGGCAGGGGGGTTTTTTAGGCCCAATTTTAACTTCGTTGGTAAGTGTTCTTTGTATCCACTAATCCAGACTCATTCTTTGGCTCTGTCTGGGTTAGGATTAGGAATGTGATGTTGACTCAAATCAGATACTTCATTCCTACCATTTCCCAACACTTTTGTCTACATAACATACTGTGTATTAAAATCTGGGAGGTGATCATATGAGAAGACACTCAAATAATAATCTCTGCTCAAAAAAACCCCACATCGTATCATATATATTCCCAGGTCCAGTGATAGTCCCATTTCCACAAAAAAGCAGGTTACAAATCATCTTAACAAGTTAGTGCAAACTTTGCAAGTGGCTACTTGAAACTTGAATTAATATAATAAATTATTATTGAGGAATAATAAATTACCTTGAAATTTTCTTCAGTTAAACCTTCGTTGGTTTTGGAAGTTCTTATCATTGCTGCGACATACCTTTTCACAAGATTTCTTATCACTTCCTGGAATAGGAAACAATACGAGTGATTCAACTGCTGGCTCAGACCAAACTGTTCTTACTGCATTTCACTGAGTTCTTACTGACAGTGGCTGTCTTTTAAACAGAACAAACCTTTGGAAAGGGTTATATACCTTCCATCTTGAATGCTCAGTCGGTAACTACAGCGAGCAGGTATTTTGTACTTGTTTTGTATATGTAAAAGTCATCGAGAAAAATTCTTGATGTTCTTAAATGTCCTCAAGCCATTTAACCTCAGCTGCTGGAAGTTTTTAAGGTTATCAATCCCATGTGTATATGCTGTGTATCCTGATAGGCTAAGTTTGCCATTTGAAGATTATCAAGTATTTGAAAGCCAAGGAGGGTATGTTGACAATAACTAACCTGAAGAACAGCCAGGACCCCATGGGGCAATGCACATTCACATTAAACCACATCTGCCAGCTGCCTGGGCATTCCCTAATGGCAGGTTAGAAGCTCCTTTCAAGGCTGCTGCAGCATCTGTGGACGGTGCTTGAAGGACTGAATCACACCCCCAGTGACTTCTCTAAGGGCTCTTGCTTCCCTGTGTTACCTGGGCTGTTTGTTACGGTACAGATTTTTGGTAGGATGAGAACCATTTTGCTCTGTGTTCACGTACCTCCTTGCTGGCTTTACATAAGCAAACTGGTACTTCGAGGTTGTACATTTATCTCTCCTGGCCAACATACACAGAGGTTGATCTCTATATACAGAAAAGACTACTCTAACCCTCCCCTTCATTTCCCCCATTTCATAAATAGGGGTCTGAGCAACACCAAGCATGAAGATGGTCTCCGCATCAAGGTTTTACTGGGAGGTTTTTTAAGGGATCCCACTGTCGGTACCCGTAAGCTATGCTGTGAAGTCAGAAAGTACCAAATGTCTGTTGTCAAAGGTGACTAATTATGTTAAACATCAACTTCAGATAAAAATACTCTTCAAAAAGCAGATGTCTTAAGTAAGACAAATTACTAATGGCTTTTGACAGTATAGCATAACGTACACCTAACGTTCTGGAGAATTTTTTTTCCTTCCAGCATGCTGACATAATACATCACACTGAATTCAAGTACCAAAGCTGATGATTTTAATACAGTTTCATCCTTTTGTAGGTTGACTTTAATGAGTACTTGACGACAGGCACGCTGAGAATAAACAAACCCTGCAAAATTCAACAAAAGAACCATTCCTCCTTCCTGAGCTGTCCAAAACAAAAGAAAATCCCAACCACTGTTTGGGTTAGGGATGCTTTACAAAAAAGAGCAGGAGAGGAACAATTCAAGAGTGTGTAAAAATGCTGCAGAAACAGTTTTAATCAGCATGGCATGACAGCCTGGTCCCTCTGATGGCAATGGGGACGTCACCTTTGACTTCAGCAGCCAAACTGATACCTGGCAAGTTTTCCACTACTTCAGAAGGGCTGAAAGGCTAGGAGTGATTTAATTAACCATCCCACCTCTAATGAGGAAATGTTTTAATCCATGATAAGCAAAATCCTCTTACCAAAATATATTCTAGAAGCAAGCAAGAATCGAGGTATTAGAAAATGAGTAGGAAGAAGAAACAGCAAGAAAAAACTCCATGTGCTCATGAGTTTACCTGGTAATGTTGATTCTGAATCAGGTTGTCAGCGTGCCGTTCCTGGAAAGAGAAAGGCACAAATATGTTACCTGTTTAGTCCTGTCTTTAGAGCTCCTGATGGCTCTTAGCAAGTCATGATCCAGCAACCTTCTACTGCACCAGCGGAGCAGTGGCCCTCGCGAACCTGCACATGCACAAGCACCCTAAAAAGTGAAGTATAAAACCACACAGCTCCTTACCGTGAATGTTTTCAGGTTTTCATGCCTCTTCTGTTCATTGTCAGAGTCGTCGCCTGGGCACAGCTGATTGTGAATCCACTTGCAAAGGTACCAGACTGACTTGGGACTTGGGACAATGTTAAAAGGAGGGGGCAGAGTGGCACCTTCATCAAAGTAACTCATCCAGAGCTTCGTCCGTGCAAACTTCCACTCAATGTCCGCATGGTCCTATGAGAGAAGGAAAGAGACTATCAAAAACTTCAGGCAGGCTTTCCTGTAGCAAATGCCCTTGGCTGAGGAGATGACATGTGAGCAATAAAGGATTTCTCCAGCTGCAGGGAAAGCAGTATTGCTTCTTTCATCTCCCTCGCTGGGGGTGTACTTAAAAAAATCAGTGTGAAATATAGCTAGAGTGTAAAAATACCAACCACTGAGAAATGAGATTATAGCAATATTCAGCAAGAAGAATTTCACATGCTAAAGCCTGGCTTCATCCTTTAGAGGTTGTGCTTATTGGTTCGCCAATACAAGAAGCAAGAAAACACATTTCTTATTTTGGTTTTTGCTAGCACTTTTATTATCCCAAACCATTGTTTCTCATGTCCAAATCCAATAAATTCTCACATTCTTCCCTGGAAAAAGATCTTTCATAGTGTTTTTTGATTTGTTTGGTTTTTGTAGCATCCATTAATTCAGCTCCTATAAGGAAGTGACACATTTTATGCGTGCCATATTTTAAATCTTGCCTCTGCATTATCCTTACACAAAACAGGAGACATTTTACTGTCTGTTTTGGGGTTTTTTTTTTCATTTATATTATCACCATGCTAGCTTCTGTGCTCTAGTGTTTTTCATCCCAAAAAAGTAAAGGTAGAAAGTTAATAGCATCATTTTACAGCTGCACAGATAGGCACATGGTCCGAACAGTCACCAGGAAAGGCATACTGAGCCTATGTAAGACATTGACCTTACAGTCTGCAAAATGGTGATCCCCAAATCAAGCTATATGCAGTCTAGTCCATGGAGTCAACAGGCTGTTCTGCCCAGTAACAAATTGCATATTCCCTTCAACATCAGGGCAGAGACATCTACCTACAGCCTGGATTCAGAGAGATACTGCAGCTATTCAAAATGGATTTCATGCTGTTTCGTGCTAGTTTTAAAGTTAAAAAATGCCACTGTTTTGTATGTTTGCAGAAATTCTGACATTAGGCAGAAAAGGAGGGAAATAGTTGGAAGCCTTCAAGCCAAGCAGTGCTGAACACAGCTTACAGTAGTACACTGAATTTAAATGGTAAATTTGTGTATTGTTATCACTGCAGAGCATAGTGCTAAACTGATGGTTATGACATTTTAGCTGTTCAGCATTTATGTTAATAGTATCTGACAGGAGCTAAGTAACAGCACAAGGTAGGAGAAAAGGACAATGCAGGATTTTAAATTTCTGAGGAGATTTCAACCAGGTTGGAACAAGCAGCCCTCCTGAGTGAGGGATGCTGGGCTGCAGGGCAGCAGCTTTCAGAAAAAAGCAGTGAAGTGTAGGATAAGGAGTTTAATAAAATATGGCTGAACATCATGCCCAAAAAAATTACTACACTGGCTTTCTGGCTACACTCCAGTGCTCTGACATGGGTAAAATATGCTCACATTTTGACAGTGAGGTGCAGCTGAACTCCATTTTAGTAGTGTATTCAAATTATGTGCACTCTTGATTTTAAATGACTGCCTCAGTGGCCCAAGAGCACATTAGTCTCTACAGGTGGTCTGAATCAGCCCAGAACACTACGATCCCCTGCCAACTTACCGAAAGGGCTGTTTTCAGGCTGTAGGTAGACTCAGAGAAGCAGCCTGCCATGCCCCTTTTTCCCTCATACATTATCAGACCCTGTAAGCAGGGAATTTGCACCACCATGAAGTATTAAAAGCTGATTCTAGTGGAAATTAATTTCAGGGTAGTAAAAAATGCAGTTTGCAGCAGTAGAAATAATTGCCACAAAAAAAAAAAGTTCTGCTCAATTTCTCTTCATTTGTCTCTACCTGCAGGCTGTAGCAAGCTCAGCAGAGCTACAGGAGGGCAGGACGAGCCATGCAGCTGCTGTTCCTCCTTCCCAGACTCTGGGTTAGTGCTCTGAACCCACAGGACGACTCCTGCCTAATAACTGCTCAGAGTTCAAGACAGAGCTGTCCCAGCCTCTTCCAGAAGCAGGGCTGGCTACTCCCTGCTCAATCCTAAAGGCGGACTCATGCCCATCTTTCTACCTGAACATTTCCTGGTCTGGGCAACTTCAGTTGAAAGAGTCTTCAGAAGCAGGACAACAAATGACCGGCATCACACGCCAGGTGAGCCAAGGGGCTGCTGGGGAGGGCGTGCTGCCCACGGGGAAAGCAGGAGATCAAATCTCTCTTGGCAGAGAAGGGGCCTGAGCTGCAGCTCCGCCTGCTCCGCCTGGACATGCTCACTACCAGGGAAAACCCAATGGTGGCTGCATCTTGAAAGGCTGCAGACAAGAGGTGCATTGCTGGTTCAAGCATCTAAAGCATTTTGTAGGAGAATAGCTGCATGAGACCAGCATTGAGTCTTTCAGCCCTGCAGTGAGTAAGTCTTTCTCAGGGTATGCAGGAACTACGGACACCTGGCAACACTGATAGCACTATCTGGGGCAGCTGGAGAGTTTAGGGTAAGGCAGTAGCTGAAGGAGAGTGCAAAGACTGTTATTTTGGATAGACTTGTATATTTTAAGTTCTTTGCCAATACATAAGTAGGTGTAAATGTCCTATTGAGGAGTCAGAAGGGAGAAGGTCCTTTGGAGAAGGTTATAAATCCACCCTTCCCTTCTACAAAGGTCCATTAAAGGTTCAGTGTCACTGGTGGGGTAGGATCAGGTGTGGTGACTTGGCAGCAATTTCCTTCAGCACATTATAAAAAGGGCATGTCCTGAGCAGAGGCAATTTAGCAGTAGATGTTGGATGCTGTTTGTAGAGGAGGATAAGGCAAATCTGTAGCTTGGGGATTGCAGATTAGTTTCTGGGAAAGCAAGGAAGAAAAGGGCTAAAAAAGTTTTTCTGCCCAGAGTGTTTTCTTTTTGTTCTTTCATTTTAAAATAGCTTAAGGAGAATACAAGGGGCTGAATGCAGGTGCAGGGCAGCGCTGTGAAACTTAGCAGGAGTTTCTCATTGGGGAAGTTCTGTGGTTGGTCTGAACAAATCCCTGTTGATCTAAATGAGTCTGTGGGTGAGGCTGGTGGATGCTGGCTTCAGCCCCCACCTGTATTTCCTCCTATGCAGTCTCAGTCAACAAGTGCAATATAACCTCTCTTAAAAGACAGACCCTCTGTACAAAGCTCAAAATATCTTTTCTTTCTCTTTCTCTCTCTTTGCTGCTGCTGTGAATTCCCCAGGGTTTACAAACTCAGCCTGACTCAATTATTCACCTTGATGTTTTGAGAACCTGAGCAAATCAGATGAGAGCTCCTGGCAGCAGTTTTGTGTTGGAAATATATAGCAAAGAGACATTTCAATTTTACTGAGAATGTCTTTGTGTGCCAGGAAACCACCATTTTCTTGGTTAGAGCTCTCTTTAGTGCTGTAAACAGTGAAATCTGCACACAAGACTACAGCTTTCCTAACTCTCCTCCCTGTGTTGATGCCATGGTTTAACCCCAGCCGGCAACTGAGCCCCACACAGCCGCTCGCTCACTCCCCCTCAGTGGGATGGGGCAGAGAATCGGTGGGGAAAAGTGAGAAAACTCATGGGTTGAGGTAAAGACAGTTTAATAGGGAAAGCAAAAGCCGTACGTGCAAGGAAAGCAAAACAAGGAATTCACTCACTATTTCCCATCGGCAGGCAGGTGTTCAGCCACCTCCAGGAAAGCAGAGCTCCATCACGCATAACAGTGACTTGGGAAGACAAATGCCATCACTCCAAACGTCCCCCTTCCTCCTCCTTCCCCCAGCTTTATATGCTGAGCATGACGTCATATAGTATGGGATATCCCTTTGGCCAGTTGGGGTCAGCTGTCCCGGCCGTGTCCCCTCCCAACTCCTTGTGCACCCCCAGACTACTCGCTGGTGGGGTGCGGTGAGGAACAGAAGAGGCCTTGGCTCTGTGTAAGCACTGTGTTTCCAGCACAAATCCAAATCACAGCCCCATACTAGCCGCTATGAAGAAAATTAACTCTATCCCAGCCAAAACCAGCACAGTTGAGTACCAGGAGTATCATGCCTCAACAATCGTTCGATACCCTATTCAAACCTGAAGCACTCGTGAGTTACAGCCAGTACATCAGTCATTGCACTGGCTGTGAACGTGGCCCAGTGGACCACCAGATGTGCTCCAGGTTTTTGGGACATCTCTCCAGTGACTGCAGGCCACTGGGCAAGATCGACATTTTTGAGAGCTGCCCAAGTCTGAGCCTGCTTTGCATCAAAGCTGTTGCAAAGATTGCACATAGCTGAACACTCAAAGCGAGCTCCTGAATACCACTACAGTGAGGCCCCTCCAACCCCAGGGCACTTCCCTTGCTCAGCCTGGGCCTGGCCACCACACGCCCCACAAAGCTACGATGAACGAGCCCGGACCTCCTGCAGTGGTGCTGCACTAGCCGCTGATCTACAGAGACGGGTCACAGGAGATGGCGTGTTGGAGCCCGCTCCCAGGGACAGCCAGCACGGACGTAACCCTGGGAGGCTTCAGTAGAAGTGGGTTTCCTAAGAGAGGACAGGAGGAAGCGCAGGTGCTCTGCCCCCGCACAGGCGGCTGGCAGAGGGCACGCACCGAGGGAGCCCAGCAGTGCAAGATGTGCCCTGCAACGCTCTGCCGTGGCGAGGAGTTTCGAGGAGACCCACTGTGCAGCGAGGACAGGATCCTCACAGACCTGTGCTCTCTCATACAGTGTTCTTAGATGACAACTTTTTGGTAACATTTATAATAAGCTAACATTTATAATAAGCTAACATTTATAATAAGCTAATCCACTAGCTTTGCAAGTGTTACCTTGTTGCTTTAGGAATTTAAATCCAAGTTTGGATTTCACTGTTCTTTCTTTGAGCTCCTGTTGCTCTTGCCCTTGTTCTTGTCACCATTTTCTTTCAAGCACTGCTCATCACTCCAGCTGTAAAACACTCTACTTCTAAGAGGGCCGAGCCCACAAGCTCAAAGAACACATGAACTCAATGAAACCAGCACTCAGCTTCTCTGTGAGAAAAAAAACTGTATCACGTACCATCAC